AACACTCAGAGGCCAAGCAAAATTAAAGCATACTGTATTAAATTAGTGATGGTAAAACTGTAAGATTCTTGGCCCTATGTCTTCTCCAATCTAGTCAAGTATTTCATGTTTAAAACAAATCCTTATGAACACAAGATATAAGACAAACAGTAACTAAAATTAAATCACACTGAGTCCCACGCTAGTCATTTTCCTAGTTCAACATTTTAAAGTCACCTTGCATAACTAATGTTCTTTTGTACAATGTTCTTCCTAAAATACCAATCTAAAACATTAGAAATTTAATGCTATAATAAATGGAAAGTGTTGAGAGCTACCTTTTTCTGAGAGAAAGGAATGAAAAGAGAAACATGAAAATAATATAAATCAGGAAAAATTATCCAACTATGGGTCAGTAAAGAAAAAGAGCTTTACTGGATTTAGTAATTACTTCTCTACAGTTTCTAAGCATTTACTAATGACTCCTTCCCAAAGGCTCAAAGAGACAAAGAGATTATTTTGCTTAACACCACTGAATTAACACTCATCAATAAGGAATTAAAAAATGCCTATATGAAAACAAAATGTTATGTTTTTTTATTACATTTTTTAAATATTTGAAAGTTATATTGAAATACGTCATAACAAGTTAAAATATATAAAAAGTGAGTGTCAAATATTATGTACTTAAGAATATTTTATGACACTATTCTATTTTCAGGTTAACATATATAAAAATTAGGCCCGAGAAGCATTTGTCTTAATTTTAATTCTTCCCTTTTTTTGTACCCAATAACAACCAAAACTTCCCTTTCATAAATGTTATTATCTCTGAAGTCAGATAATCGCTTAGGTTTTCATAAAAGCTTCCCTTAAAAAAATACTTTCCCAAACCTACTTAAATTTATTTTTTACAAGCTGTTTTCAAACACACTCTTCTACCGTTTGCTAACCCTCACCTTCTTTTGTGTTTTCCTCACACCTGTGGAAATTGTACATGTTTATCATATTTCACACTTTGTCTTCTTCTACTTACAAACTATATTATGTTACTTTAATCTCCTCTTATAGGGATGATCTCATTCAAAGGGAGCCCCGACTTGCTCTCAAGTTCAAAAACCAGCAACAACAAAAAAGCACACAAAGGAATATGCTAATTCTCTCAATGTTATATTACCTAAGAAAATTGTACATTCCTTGGTTTCTAATTTATTTACAGAAAGTTTTAAACTCTTTTGTATCCTTTTCCCACTTAAATCTCCTTTTCTTCTACACTCTCCTTAGACTTGGACAAATAATTCCGATTTTTGGTTATGGAATCCAAAATTTGCAAAACTGGTATAATTCACTTGAACAGACAAGTTATTATGTTTTTAAGAAAGTAAAGATCATTATAATTGGCTATTTGAAACTGGGGAAGAAATGGTTTAAATTCATAAAGATAATTCTGTAATATGTAAACACTTAAAAAATAAACTCAACAAAATATTTAAATTATCCAATATAGTTAATAAACCCACTATGAGAAATAAAAATTGAAAAATATTAAACAATGCATGAAAAATATTAGTTTTAGTTGTTATTGATCTATCTACGAAATCACCATGAAGTCATTTCACGTCATGTCCTAAGGTTCTACACTGTGAAAGAAGGAATTTATGATTTCTAACATTCCTTTTGTTTCTAAATGCCTGGGTTCCTTTAGATATGTGATGCGATTTCAGTCCTGAGTTTTGTATCTGTTTTATTGCAAACTCCTACACATACACACAAATATACCACAAAGAAATCCCTATTAAAGAAAACCTTCAAGGGAAAAACAATGCAAAAATTCACTAGGCATTTTTGTATACTGATTGTGGGGGAGTAACTGATATATCCCTTCCTAAAAGTCAATGTGGCATTATCTATCAGAAATTAGAATAAGGAAGCCCCTTAAACTCAATATTTATACTTCTAGGAATGGAGACTAAGGAGTAACTCACACACTTATATACACATGTATGCTCAAACATATATATGGCAACACTGGATATATAATATGCAGTAAACACTTAAGACTAAACCTGATTTCTTGATTTCCACGCCTAATTCTGTTCTTCTACATTTTAGTCAATAGCCCCAGTTGTTCAAGCCTAATATTATGAGTCATTATTCATTCCTCTTTCATAATTAATCTACCAAAAAAATCTTCTCTTTTTCCTTGAAAATCTATGGAAAACCAGTCACTCCTCTAGATCTCTACTGCCACTAACCCAGTCCAACCACCTTTCTCTCTCACCTGGACTAGTTGGTAAAAAAAACTAACTCTTGGGTGATTTTCTACCATTTACTCCCCATCCTTCAGAACAAGAGAAGCCAAAATGATCATTTCAAAATGTAAGATGATGCACATCCCTATGAAAAACTTTCTCATGGCTACCCACTGCACTTAAAGGAAAATTGAAATGCTTCATGTTGGTGTTTAACTGCCTCTCCAAGTTCATCACATGCGACATTTTCCATTGCTTTGATCACGCTGGCCAAAGTGACATTTCCTAAAATCTACCAAGCTCTTTCCTGCTCCAAGGCCCTTAACCATGTTCTTCTCCAGTCTGGAAAGCATCTTTCAAGGCCGGTTCCTTGTTATCCAGCTATTATTATAACAGCTTTCCTTTGCCCTTTTATACACTATTACTTCATATTATTTGTTCCTTCATACACTCACCTTAATCTTCAATTATCTTGTTTATTTATCAGCTTTGTATTTCTCCCCACTACTACATAAACCCTGATGGCATGAAACTGTTTCAATACTATTATCTCAGCACTATGTACAGTCCATATCAACAAATATTTATTGCATGAATGACAGAAGAGCAGCCTGAGTTTTTGTTTTCATTTGCCAAAGATAAGCTATTATTTAAATTATGAATCTTAGTTTACACTAAAAACTTCACACAACAGCCAATTCCTCTATCTAATCTACTTCAATTAAAATAATAAAAAACATCAATAAGACATATCAGAAATAACTTGGTGAAAATTTGCATAGTACACTATAACAAACTAAAAGTTTGTGATCTGGCAATAGCAATCTTCTTGGCTTCATCTCTGCTGCCCACCCACACACACACCTTAACTTGTGGCCGTTTCCCATTGAGAAATATAACTTGGTCAGATTAACTGCAATTCAAAGTGTGTATGGCAAGGGATGAAGCTAAGAAGACTGCTGAGGACAGATCAGCCTTCTGTACTGGAACAGGTGTTATGTTTTAGTTTAGAGAGTCAGGTATTTTATCAAAGTTCATATAGTTTAAGAACAAGTAGGGCATCTGATCAACTGGAAGAATGAGGGATTTGATTCAGTACAAAGTTTGGCAAGTAAATTCTATACACACAATAATATTTTTACTATCATAAAGTCAGTACCATGTTTCTTTTGTGACTACAATTAAGATTTTACCTTACTGTTAAGATTTCAATTATTTTTATTAAAGCCTAGTGTATACATTGTTCCTAAAACTACCCCCAGTGAAATTATGTGAAATTGGCCTTACACAATCTTTTCCATTCTTAGATAATGTACTAGAATCTACATAAGTGATCTTTCCACTGATAACATATTCTCCTTATCTCATTTATTCCAAACTCTACCATGCTTTAAAAACATGGTCTTTGGTCCTATATGCTTGCATATTCTATTTTTATTTCCAAATGAAGTCTGCTAACCTAATTAGTACACTCCTAAAACCATGCTACATAATATGTACTTAATTGTTAAAAATATTTTCCTATTTGTTATCATTCTATAATTAGGAATTTGGTCTTAGGAAATGTCAACACTTTAATATTAATTTTCAATATTAACATTTCACAAATGTAACAACTTTAACTTTTTAAAAATAATGCCTGTATTGCAGCAGTCCCCAATTCTCCTTTCTTCTTACTCTAACTAAGGCTTTTCTTCACTTACTAACTCCTGAAAGCTAATTTTATAGCCCTCTTCTTCTCAATATTTACTATTAAAAGTCCCTGGAAGGACAAAAAAAATGTTAAGGTCTTCATCAGCACATCCCTCTGGCTCTATCATAATTGTTTTTCCACTAAAACTAAATCTTTGGGGAGCACCTAGGTGGCTCAGTCAGTTAACCAGCCAACTTGAACTCAGGTCATGATCTCATGGTTAAGTTCAAGTGCCTTGTCAGGCTCTGGACTGACAGCTTGGAGCCTGCTTTGGATTCTCTGTCTCCCTCTCTCTCTACCCCTCCCACACATGTGCTCTTTCTCTCTCAAAAATAAATATAAATAAACATTTAAAAGAAAACTGATTCCTTGGAGGAAAAAAGAGGTAGAAATACAATAATATTTCCTTTTGAGCCTTTCAATAATGTACTCTTTCGTCTAACTGGAGCAACACATTAGATAAGTCATGAAGTTCTGTGTCTCTAAACTACAGTCATAGACATACAGCTAGCTTCAGTTCTTAGGAAAAGCTTCAGTTCTCCTATAAATTTCACCTCTCTTTACCTCAAGAATCAGGAATCAACATGTCCAGGGTGCAGAGCTATAAGCACAGAAATGAAACCAAAAACAGGAAAACTATAGATCTTAGAACCCCAATGAGATTACAAGTGCACAGGAAAATTGATCACTGCTTTTTGAGGAGGACTGTGTATAATATGGGGAATGCATATCAGATGATTAACAACTTTAATAACTACTGAAGGGATGAATGATGCAATCTATTTATGCAATCTCCTACTTCACACAATTCACATCAAAACAAAGCAGTAAGCAGTAGAGGAGACTAATCCTTTATCATACTTACCTGTACAAGTAAGTTGCAAGATAGAAGTAAAGGCCTTGTTTTATAGTACTTCTTAAGTTAAAACAGAAAGAAAGAAAGAAAGAAAGAAAGAAAGAAAGAAAGAAAGAAAGAAAGAAAGAAAGAAAGAAAGAAAGAAA